GTAGGTCTCGAACCCACGGGCTCAGGCAATTCACTCACCTCAGCCTCCCAAAGGCGCGGGATTACAGGCTGAGCCACTGAGCCCGGCTCCCCTAAAGTCTCTTAATCGCCAGTCAGCAGTCTCTGCAGCACTTGGAGAAGTCAGATTCCAGGAACCAAAAAGTCAAGAAGAGAGACAGCAAGCAACAGGAAGAAGGAAGAGCCAAGAGCTAAAATCATATCTCCTTATTACTCTCTGCAACTCTCTTTCCGTAGAGCATATCAGGCTGGAAGTGAGAAGACAAGGAAGAGAAAACCTTTCAGAAGTCAGTCCCTCTCTTGAGTTGCTTCACAGCTCTGTCATTCACTCTCCAAGAGACTGGGAACAAATTTTGTTCGACCCTCTATGTTTAGATTTTTCTATTTGCAAAACAGACTATTTGTAATACATTTATTCTTTTAAACATTTTAGCACAGAAACTTTCAAACACAGATAAAAGTAGAGAGATTTGTATGATGAACTCTCATGCACCTATCATCCAAATTCAGTGACTATAAACTCATGGCCACGTGTGTTTTGACCATGCCCACTAATATATTTAAGACTGAAGGGCTTAAAGATCCTAATATTTACTACAAAGTCTTTTTTTTTTTAGCTGGAGTCTCACTGTCACCTAGGCACTGAGAGCAGTGGCACAATCATGGCTCACTGTAACCTCCACCTCCTGGGCTCATATAATCTTTCCACTTCAGTCTTCCAAGTAGCTGGAGCTATAGGCGTGCACTACCGCGCCTGGCTAAGTTTTATTTTTTTTTAGAGATGAGGTCTCGCTATGTTGCCTAGGCTGGTCTCAAATGCCTGGGCTCAAGCAATCCTCCTGCCTCAGCCTCCAAAAGTGCTGCGATTACAGGCATGAGCTACCGTGCCTGGCCAGTACAAAGTCTTTAAGACTAAAGGACAAGACTAAAGAGCATCTCAATAGTGCCTTTTTTAGCCTGGGTAACATAGTGAGACGCCATCTCCACCAAAAAAAAAAAAAAAAGGTTAGCCAGCTGTAGCTCCAGCTTCTTGGCTGAGGCAGGAGGATTGTTTGAACTCAAGAGATCAAGGTTGCAGTGAGCTATGATCATACCACTGCACTCCAGTAAAACCTTGTTTCTAAAAATAAGAATAATGCCTTTTTCATCTAGAAGTTAAAAAAAAACCCAAAACCTAGTCTCCAGGTTTAGGTATAGAAAAGAGAAGACAAACTTAAATAGGTTACAAACCTGTAAAATTAGGTTACACACTCTTATTTGAAATAACAGAGATTCATAATTGCAGTTTTCACCATCTCAGGGTGCTTTCAGGAAGCCCCGACTTTTCAGCTCTGGGGCTGAGCTTATGCACTGTAGCAGGACCCTGAGAACTTACCTGAACTCCCTCTCTATGGCATGGGCAAATGGAAGGAGTATCCCCGGGGGTTTCTTCCTCAGAACCAGCTGACGATTCGCCAGCCTGATGTAGTAAGTTGGATTTGACTGCCCGTGGTCAAACTGAAGGAGTTCCAATGAGCCTGCAGGTTTGAAAACAAAGAGAACTCAAACCAGATCTAGAGGACAGGTCTGGACAGACATTTTTTCTTTCTAATAAGTTCTGCATATGGGATGCAAAACATCCTCATTTGGTATGCAGTGCAAGGAAGGCAACTCCTGGCTGGGTCCTAGGAGTGACCTAGTCCCAGGCACACTTGCCAGCAAGGGTCCAGGGCCACATGGTGCCATAGCTTGGCAAAGACCACTCGCTTGACACCAAAGTAATTTTCTCACTTTGTATGGGTGTCTGATTCTGTCTTTCTTGCCAAGCCCTGCTTCATGAACAAAACATTTTTGCTCTGTTTATCAACCACAAGCACAGTCATGGCAACCCATCTTGCCCAGTAGAATGCTTTAAGCCTAGGGATGAAAGGTACCCTTGCGTGTCCCAAAGGCTGACACTGACGTTGACAGCTGAAAGGAGCTATGCAGAGGTCTTCAGCTTCAGCTGAAGCTGCTTTCGTAAGATGCAGTTTCCCACTCCACCAGGCTGGATTCTGTAGCTCTCCTGCAGGCTCCTGGCTGAGGTAAACCTAATTAACCCTCTGCTTCAGAAGGAGCTGGGCTCTGGGCGTAGATTTACCCACTTGGTCAGAAGAGCAAGGGGAGTCTGCCCGAGTCTGTCAGCCTGGCCAGAATGGGCCCCTCAGCTTTCAGAGACACTACCAAGAATCAAATCACTTGAAAACCTCACAGCATGAACCTCCATACAGAAAAGCCTTCAAGTGTGTGAGGCAAAACTTTACCACCTGGTAGAAACATCTTCAAAAGCTCACAAGGCACCTGCTTTTCTGAGGGTGGAATGTGAAGAATGAGAGAGGGAACTTTGAAGAGAAGAAGACAACTTGTCGCATTTTCAAATCATGCAACTTTTAAGTCACCTTTCACAAAACAGGCCATTCCCTCAAAACTAGAAACTTCAAATGTCCCTGAGTACATATTGCAGTGCCCAAGTTCTGCCCCTCCTTGAAAAAACTGTTTGCAGGTAACTGCTGTCAGGTGCAAGAGAGGGGTAAGCACACTTTTGAGGACCCAAAGGCTATCTTCCTCACCATGTTGCCTGTCTCTGGCCTATTCCATTAGGGTTTGGAAGTGAGAACCAGCATGAAAGACTAGCCTTGGAGAGAGTCACCAAAATGCAGAAACTTACATACCTGTTGCCTGGATCCCCAGTGAGTCTCTGAGGTACTTTTCCAAGGAATCTTGTGGAATTTCCATTGTTTTTCTCACAGGACGAATATTTGGAATACCCACTCTCAGCGTAAATCCCAATAGAGCTTCTAATTCCTTTATTGCAGTCTCGGGGTCATTAACCTGGTTTCAGAGAAAACAGTGAACTTGGACCACCAGTTGGCCCTGTCCTCTCCTCCTGTCTGTTCTCCAGGGTAGTGCTTTAGAAGGAAACCGTCAAAGAAATCAGTTTCCCACCACTGTCCTAGCCACTCTGAATTTTCTATCTGCAGGGAAGAGAACAGTCAAGAGTTCACAACACAGATCGGCATGATGGTTCAAGCCTATAATCCCAGCTACTTGGGAGGCTGAGGTGGGAGGATCACTTGAGATCAGAAGTTCAAGGCCAGCCTGGACAACATAGCAAAACCCTGTCTCCAAAAAAAAGAAAACCTGAGAGTTCACAATACTCTCTTGTGTTAAGAAAGCAAAAGACTTTGCCACAGTGCTTGCACTGGTGCCCAATACATAGTAGGGGTTCAGAAAAGACTGATATTACCTTGATGGTGCGAATACCAAGGCTGGTAGCTGTTTTTAGATTTGGTCCAAGGTCGTCAAGAAAGATGGACTCAGAGGGCTGCAGGCCAAGCCGCTCCAAGCACAGTTTGTAGATCCTAGGGTCTGGCTTACAGACACCTTCCAGACAGGACTCCACGATCTGAGGAGGAAGGGGAATGAGCGAGGTCTGTCTCTAAAGGTGGAGCTCCCACTGCACGCTGGTAAACTTTTTGAATGGAAGAACATAAGGAGGCCAGTTGAGATTGATTATAACAAGTAACTTAAGAGTGTTAGGATAGAAATGATGTTGCTTCCTATACCAAGTGATTTCAAAAGACTGGGTTACAACCTGAAGGCACATTCAGGACACCAAAGTGCTGCTTCAGACACAGGGACCATGTGCAAACTAGCAAAGCCACAATGGGCCTTAGTTTCAACATGAATAAAATGGGAATAATAATAGTCATCTCACCTATCTCAGCAGTTGTTGTGAAACTTAAATGAAACTTGAGTGAGTTCCAAAATCACAAAGTATTTTGAGAATGTTACATATTTTCTCTACATAGAGCAGAAGACAAGCCATACATTTCACTTTGTGGAAATTATTTTACTTTTTTTTCCCAGAAAGAAGGTATTGTTTATTGCTATTAGTACAAAATAAACATGACCTTAATGTTTATTTCAGAGTTTCAAAAACCCACCTATTCTCAATTTAGACAGAAATTCCATGAGAGGGCAGACACCAGAGGCCATCAGTGACAAAGAAACCTCCATCCTGACAGTCTTGCTCCTGCCATGTATCTGATCTGGAACCAGGGGTGGGGGATGGTGAAGGTTCAGTAGACCTTGAAAAAGCTATCTCAGTGCCTGGATCTCTGATCCAGTGACCCCCCCTGAAAGTTATCTTATATTTTCCCCAGAATTTAATCTCCTATAAAGGGGTCCCAAGGTGGCCATATAGGTCCATAACCAATACAAAGAATAGAACTAATCTTGGACTCACTGCTTGGAATGACCCAAGCACTCAAGGCCAAGGACAAACCCAAAGATCCCTCTTTTCCACAAGTGCATTCTGGATTGGGTGAGAACTGCCTTTTCAGGTATACATGTCCTGAATAAACTGTACCATTCTAATAACTTGTCCTTGTCTCCTAAGTTGGTCCATGGCCTGTTAGGAACCGGGACACACAGCAGGAATGAGCAGCAGGCTAGCGAGGGAAGCTTTATCTGTATTTATAGCTGCTCCCCATCGCTTGTGTTACTGCTGAGCTCCATCTTCTGTCAGAACAGGGGTGGCATTGGATTCTCACAGGAACACAAACTCTACTGTGAACTGTACATGTGAGGATCTAGGCTGCGCACTCCTTATGAGAATCTAATGCCTGATGATCTGAGGTGGAGCTGAGGCAGTGATGCTGGTGCTGGGGAGCGGCTATAAATACAGATTAAAATTGGCAGTGAGGTGTGACTGCACAGAGACCATAATAAATCAATTACTTGCAGACTCATACCAAAACCCTATTAGTGTGTGGCACTCAAATCATTCCAAAACTATCCATTTTCCTGGGGTCGGCGGAACAATTGTCTTCCAAGAAACTGGTCCCTGATGACAAAAAGGTTGGGGACCACTGTCCTAAGGACGTGAATGTGCTAAAAGCAAACAAAGCAGCTCCTCTTAAAGAACATGTCAATAGTGGGTAGCAGAGACACAGGGCATTTCAGACACCCATTGATGGATCATGCTGGAGGGAAGCAGTACAGCTGTACCAGTTGAGACAAGAGATGAGAAAGCGGAGGAACCATGGGGAGAACAAGGCCAAGTTTTTTTTTTTTTTTTGAGTTGGAGTCTCACTCGGTCGCCCAGACTGGAGCGCAGTGGCCGCTCCCAGCCACCGCGGCCTCACCTGCTGGGCTACGGCGATCCTTCCGCCTCAGCCTTCCGACTAGCCGGAATTACAGGCATGCGCTACCACGCCCGGCTGATTTTTTTTTTTGATTTATTGTAGAGATGAGGACTCGCTGCCCAGGCGGGTCTCGAACCCGCAGGTCAGGCAATCCACTCACCTCAGCCTCCCAAAGGCGCGGGATTACAGGTTGAGCCACCAAGCTCGGCTAGGGCCAAGTTCTGACAGGCAGGTTAATTCTGCTTGGGGGTAGTGAAAACATTCTTAAGATCTATTTGTCAGGCTCGGTGGCTCAGCCTGTAGTTCTAGCACTTTGGGAGGCTGAGGTGAGTGGATTGCCTGAGTCCGCGGGTTCGAGACCTACCTGGGCAACTTGGCGAGACCTAGTCTCTACAATAAATCAAAAATTAGCCAGGCATGGTAGTGTGCACCTGTAGTTCCAGCTACTTGGAAGGCTGAGGTAGAAGGATCGCTGGAGCCCAGCAGGACAAGGCTGCGGTGGCTGGGAGCATGCTACTGTACTCCAGTCTGGGCGAAGGAGTGAGACTCCAACTCAAAAAATAAAAAGATCTATTTGATAGTATCTCTGGCCTTCTCTTTCTGTCCTATTTTGCACATGATGGCATGAGCCTGCTCAAGGTTTCTATTACCTTCTTGGCAAACCAGGAAGTGTGGGAACAAGGCCAGTGTTCACCCAAATATAGATTAAATTAAAAAGGTTTTAGCCTAGACACATGGTTCATGCCTACAATCCCAGCTGGGTGAGGGTCTCGCTTTGTCACCCAGGCTGGAATGCAACAACGCAATCACAGCTCACTGCAGCTTTTAACTCTTGGGTTCAGGCAATCCTACCACCTCAGCCTCCTGGGTGGCTGGGACTACAGGTGCATGTAGACTACTGTGCCCAGATGCTGTTTTCAACCTACTGCATCTAAACCTAACTTGGTCAAGTGTTTGAATAAGAAGCCCATTTGCTTTAGACCTGCTAAAAGGCAGCGTTTAATGTTGCATCTTGAAGGGCAAAGGCCCTGGCCCCAATGTTTTGAATCAGAATCAACTCAAGCTGTCTACGGCCACACCATCCCGAACACGCCCAATCTCATCTGATCTCGGAAGCAAAGCAGGGTCAGGTCTGGTTAGTACTTGGGATGGGACAATCAGTTCAAGCTTACCACATCAAACTGCTTCCGGTCCAGGGGCAGAAAGCTTTTCCCATTAGGGAGATAAAAATTATTGCTCAAGACTGCAGTCTGAAGACCTTTAGCCCGAATATGAGTTATGGCCTCAGTCATCACCGGGAACTGCTTCGCAACTCGCTCACTGGTCAGCAGAGAGAAAAACGAGTCCACAGGCACGGAGGTCTGTGTCTAAGAATGGGGAAGGGCAGAGAACAGCAATCATTAAGAGCGAGGGCCTCTCATGGTCAATAGAAAAACATCCTCATTCCTGGCTTTCTCCTGCTAGCTGGTTATAAGAGCCCAGGCTAACAGCTTACAACTAAAGAAATCATCTCCTCACACCCTGTGCTGAACTCTGCATCTGAGGCTTTAGAAAGTGACTTAGAATTAGAGTTACACTGATTAGAAAATGGAGCTATTTACAGCAATAGAGCAGTTAAATGAGTCCTTTATTCTGCTTATGGATTGCCAATTGCAAAAAAAAAAAAACCAAAAAACCATAAGAGAATACATTAAACTCTAAAAGATGCCATTTAATTTTTAATGATCCAGAAGGCATTTAATGATTTTGTATTGTCTCAGCATGGCCATTATGAACTTTAGTTTCTGGTCAATTTTTTTTTTAATTCAACCTGTGTGGGTTTTGAAAACTCATATTATCATGTTTCAAAATCCACAAAGGCAAGTCTGCCATTTTATGTATATATACACACACACACACACCCACATATTTTATAACAGTTTTATTGAAGCATAATTCACAAGCCATACAATTTACCTACGTAAAAGGGGACAATTCAGTGGTTTTTGGTATATTTACAATATTGTGCAACCATCTCCACAATCAATTTTGGAACATTTTCATTATCCTAAAGAGAAACCCATGTTCATCAGCATTTCCCCAATACGCTCAGTCTTGGAAGCCACAAATCTACTTTCTAGTCTCTACAAGATTTGCCTGTTCTGAACATTTTCTATAAATGGAATCATACATTATGTGATCTTTTTTGATTGACTTCTTTCACTTAGCACAATGTTTACTATTATGTGTGTGTGTATACATATTATACATATATATAAAATTTTCTGCTGGGTGCGGTAGCTCACGCCTATAATCCCAGTACTTTGGGAGGTGGAGGCAAGAGGATTGCCTGAACACAAGGGTTTGAGACCAACCTAGACAACTTGACAAGACCTCATCTCTACAATGAAAAAAAAAATAGCAGGGTGTGATGGTACACACCTGTGGTTTCAGCTACTTGGAAGGCCGAGGCAGAAGGCTCTACTGAGCTCAGCAGGTAAGGCTGTAGTGGCTGTGATCATGCCACTGCACTCCAGTCTGGGCGACAGAGGGAGACTCCAACTCAAAAAAATTTTTTCCCCACAATTTTAATATATACATAAATTGTAGAAAATATGTAAAACACAAAATTCACCATTATCTTTTTTTTTTACTTGAGATCTCACTCTGTCACCCAGGCTGGCGTGCAGTGTCACATCGCAACTCACTGCAGACTCAACCTCTTGGGCTCAGATGAGCCTTCTACTTCAGTCTCCCAAGCAGCTGGGACTACAGGCACCACCAAGCCGTTAATTTTTTCATCTTAATTTTTTGTACAGACAAGGTCTCATTATGTTGCCTAGGCGGGTCTTGAACTCCTGGGCTCAAACAATTCTCCTGTCTTAGCCTCCCAAAGTGCTGGGATTATAGGCATGAGCCACTGTGCCTGGCCCATTTGAACCATTTTCAAGTACACAGTACAGTGGCATTAAGTACAGTCACGTTGTGCAATCATCACCCTTTCCACCCGTAGAACTTTTCTTTCTATTATATTTTAAATGATATTTTAGTGAGTTATTATGAAGGTTACATGAGTTAATATAAACAGCCTAGTACAATGCATAGTACAGAGAAAATGCTCAATATCATTGCTTTACATAAGCTTTTGGATCAAAGCCATAATACAGACAGCTCCTGTTTTAATGTCTGTTGTGGCTCCACGGTTGCTGGATTTCTGGAGACACTGTGGGTGGTAGACCCGGAAGGGGCATGGAAGCTCTGCACCCGCCCCATGTATCTTGTTGGCTGGCTGTTCATCTGTATCCTTTATGATATTCTTTATAATAAACTGGTAAATGTAAAAAAAAAAAAAAAAAGACCTGCTGGAGAGACTTAGTAAAGCATAATTGCACTTATTCATATACAAACTTAAAGTTGAGTACCTAGGGAGGGGAGAAATAGCTTAGAAACATATAATGGGTTATCAGATTTCACTTTATTTTCAGTTTAACCAACATATGGATGAATGCTGCAAGGACTACTCAGGGCAAAAAGAATAATATGAAAATGCAGATACGTTTATCACTCACCATTTCAGAGCAAAGTCTCCCAAATTCTTGGAGGAAATTCTCCATGGTTATCTCTCCTCTCATAAATCTCATCCAGGGCCCATTTTCACCACCTTCTAACAAGGCCCTTGATACAGTTCCCGAAGGGATATGGTTCTGTACCTCCCACTCTATAGGAAGTAAAATGTGCAAAAGTGAAATTCATCAGCAAATGGCTGGATGTGGGGAGCTCAGGGGAATTACCACACTAGTTCCCATGGCATCACTGTGGTGCCAGAGTAGAAGCTATATGGAATTCGGAGAAATTCATGAAATGCAAAAAATCTCTGCCTTAGACTTCCAAAGGGGGAGCAACACTAATGTGTATGAAGAGAACACACGGCTGTAAGCAGCAGGTCCTTAGCACTTGCTTGACATGACTCTGGACGCTGCATGAAATTCCCTCCTTGGGCTCATATTAGCTGGGTCGCATACATTAGGTCACTTACACAGCCCTGGCATACGCTAAGGAAGCGCATAAAGGAATAAACCAAATCCTGACAACACCCCAAAAGAAGCCCTTCATTTTGAAAGTTCCAGTAATCCTTTACAGCAGCATAGCTGGTACTCTGAAACGTTCACTTGGGGGCTGCTATCTTCATGGAATAAAGAAGAAAATTTCTCTCCGCAAACAGCTAAGACAGTGACTGAATCAGCATCTGTGTGATACTGGGAACATTTGGATAAGGGTTGTTTTTCCTCATGTGAACTTGTTTTTTCTTTCTATAACACAACTGCTGGGGGCAAATCTAGACATGTAGCATTTATAATTATATATCTAAGGTATGAGATACATTGTACGTATCTTTTTTGCTTTTTGGGTTTTTTTTGAGTTGGATTCTCAATCTGTCGCCCAGACTGGAGTGCAATGGCCGCTCCTGGCCACTGCAGCCTTGACCTGCTGGGCTCCAGCGATCCTTCCACCTCAGCCTTCCAAGTAGCTGGAACTACAGGCGCGCGCTACCACGCCCAGCTAATTTTTGATTTATTGTAGAGATGAGGTCTCGCCAAGTTGCCCAGGCGGGTCTCGAACCCACAGGTTCAGGCAATCCACTCACCTCAGCCTCCCAAAGGCACGAGATTACAGGCTGAGCCACTGAGCCCGGCTGCTTTTTTGTTTTGAAATGAAAACACTTTTATTTTTTTTCTGAGAAAGTAGTACCTGTGTACAGACACCATAGAAAGATGTAAAAAAGAAGGTGAAATGACAAGCAGTCCCATTCTTCAGGAATAGCCAATGTTAACAGCTTGGTGTACGTCCTTTGAGAACAGCAAGACTTCTAAAACTCAATCCACAAAATAATAATTTAGTTTGGGAGCACATCTAAAGTGCACAGTATCCTTCCTAGCCCAGAGTTGGCAAGCAGGCAAGGGTGGAGTGGAAACAGCGCAACACTGCAGAGAACAATTTGGGAACTGCTGTCCAGATTTTAAATGCACATATGTTGATGTAGCAATTCTACTTCTAGGAATTCCTTTTGCATGGATATTTACAAAAGGAACCAAAGATTATGTACAAAGCTGTTTGTGCAGAATTGCCAGAAGATAAAAGAACTAGAAATTTAAATGTAGGCCGGGCGTGGTGGCTCAGACTACAATCCCAGCACTTTGGGAGGCCAAGATGAGTGGATTGCCTGAGCCCGCGGGTTCGAGACCAACCCAGGCAACTTGGTGAGATTTCATCTCTACAATAAAATATTTTTTAGGCCAGGCTCAGAGGCTCAGTCTGTAATCCCGTGCTTTGGGAGGCCGAGGTGAGTGAATTGCCTGAGCCTGCGGGTTCGAGACCCACCTAGGCAACTTGGCGAGACCTCATCTCTACAATAAATCAAAAAAATTAGCCGGGTGTGGTAGCGCACGCCTGTAGTTCCATCTACTTGGAAGGCTGAGGCGGAAGGATCGCCGGAGCCCAGCAGGTCAAGGCTGCGGTGGCCGGGAGTGTGCCTCTGCACTCCAGTTTGGGCGACAGAGTGAGACTCCAACTCAAAAAAAAAAAAAAAAAAAAATCATAGTTAAAAGAAGAAAACACTAGCCGGGCTCGGTGGCTCAGCCTGTAATCCCGCGCCTTTGGGAGGCTGAGGTGAGTGGATAGCCTGAGCCTGCGGGTTCGAGACCCACCTGGGAAACTTGGTGAGACTTCATCTCTACAATAAATCAAAAATCTGCTGGGCGTGGTAGCATGCGCCTGTAGTTCCAGCTACTTGGAAGGCTGAGGCGGAAGGATCGCCGGACCGCAGCAGGTCGAGGCTGCGGTGGCTGGGAGTGGCCACTGCACTCCAGTCTGGGCAACAGAGTGAGACTCCAACTCAAAAAAAAAAAAATTTTTTTTTAAATTAGCCAAGCATGGTAGTGTATGCCTGTAGTTCTGGTTACTTGTAAGGCTAAGGTGGAAGGATCGCCCCAGAGCCCAGCAGATTGATACTAGGGTGGCTGTGAGCCTGCATGCCACTGCACTCTAGCCTGGGCGATGGAGTGAGACTCCAACTCAAAAAAAAAAGGAAAAAAATTAAATGTATATTAATAAAGAGCTCGTTAAATCATATGGTATATACCTGTAACAGAATACCACAAAGATGTTAAACTATAAACGTGACCAAGGTCAGCAAAATATGGCTCGGGGGTCAAATCTGTCCCCTTCCTTTTTTTTTTTTCCTTGAGTTAAAGTCTCACTCGGTTGGAGTGCAGTGGTACAAACACAGCTCACCAGCCTCGACCTCTTCGGCTCAGGAGATTCTTCTACCTCAGTCTCCCAAACAGCTGGAACTACAGGCATGTGCCACCACACTCAGCTGTTCTAAAAAATTATTTGTAGCTGGGTGCGGTGGTTCATGCCTACAATCCCAGCACTTTGGGAGGCAGAGGCGAGAGGATTGCCTGAGTCCAGGGGTTCAAGACAAACTTGGGCAACTTGGTGAGACCTCAGCTCTATAATAAATTTTTTAAAAAATTAGTTGGGTGTGGTGGCACGTGTCTGTGGTTCCAACTACTTGGAAGGGTGAGGTGGAAGGGTCAACTGAGCCCAGCAGGTTGAGGCTGCAATAACCATGAGCACGCCAATGTATTCCAGCTTGGGCAACAGAGTGAGACTCCAACTCAATAAATAAATAAATAAATAAAAATTATTTGTAGAAACCAAGTCTTGCTATATTGCCTAGGCTGGTCTTGAACTCCTGGGCTCAAGAAATCATCTCACTTTGGCCTCCTGAAGAGCTGGCATTACAGGCATGAGTCACTGCGTCCAACCCAAAAGCACAGATGATTTTGACAACATCAAAAATGAAAACTTTTGTGTGGATCAGGGAAATAGAAAAAAAAGAGAGAGGGACTGCTAGAAGCTCAAATCTCACCTGCATGCAATTTATTTATGTAGTAAACCCTCACATGTACTCTACATCTCTAAAATAAAATAAAATGAAAAGAAAAAAACTCTTTGGTGTGGCAAAAACATTATAAATACAATCAAAAGACACAAAAGAGGAAAAAATATTTGCAAGTGATATAATAGACAAAAGGTAATTACCACAAATCAATAAGGAAAATGAGAAATTCACAGAAAAAGAAAACTGAATGACTAAGAATACACAAAGAAAAAGGGGGCTTGGCCAGGCTCAGTGGCTCAGACTGTAATCCTGCGCTTTGGGAGGCTGAGGTGAGTGAATTGCCTAAGTCCACGGGTTCGAGACCCGCCTGGACAACTTGGCGAGACCTGTCTCTACAATAAATCAAAAATTAGCCGGGTGTACAGGTAGCATGCACCTGTAGTTCCGTCCACTTGGAAGGCTGAGGTAGAAGGATCGCTGAAGCCCAGCAGGTCGAGGCTGCGGTGGCCGGGAGTGTGCCACTGTACTCCAATCTGGGTGACGGAGTGAGACTCCACTCAAAAAAAGAAGAAGAAAAAGAAAAAGGGGGCTCAACCTCACTGACAATTAGGAAAATGAATATTAAAATAACAGGGAAAAAGCACAGAAATGGAATTTTCATCCACAAAAATGAAAAAGTCTGATCACATCATTGTACTCTGAATATAATGCTAAGGTGTTTGGGCTGAGTTTTTGTTGTGTGTACTAATTTTAGAGTCAGCAAGCTTCTCGGAAAACGACCAGGCAGTAAATATTTCAGGTTGTGAGGGCACTAAGGACCCTGGGAAAGCTGCTCAACTCTGCTGTTATAAGGCAAAAGCAGCATGGGTCACTATGTAAACAAAAACATGTAATATATAAACAAAAGCATGGGCCATGTGTAAACAAGTGGACAGGCCTGTGTCCCAAAACAGCTTCATTGTTATGGGCATTGGAATTTGAATTTTATATAATCTTCACATGCCACAAAATATTATTCTTGTTTTGGTTGTTTTCAGTTACATATTCCAAAGCATAAAAGTTATTCTTGAATGCCTGAGCCCCGGGGTTCGAGACCAGCCTGAGCAACTTGGTGAGACCTTGTCTCTACAATAAATAAAAAAATTAGCCGGGCGTAGTAGCATGCACCTATAGTTCCAGCTACTTGGAAGGCTGAGGCAGAAGGAACGCCTGAGCCCAGCAGGTTCAGGCTACAGTGGCCGTGAGCGTGCCACTGCACTCCAGCCTGGGTGACAGAGTGAGACTCTGACTTGAAGAAAAAAAAGTCACTCTTGGCTAATGTGCCACAGAGACATAGGCAGCAGACTGGATTTGGTCTACAGGGCATATTTGGCTGACCCCTGGCTTAAATGTAATAAAAATATATATTAAGAGTATGGTATTTGATTTTTTAAAAACAGCTGGGCATAGTGGCTCACACCTGTAATCCTAGCACTTTGGGAAGCCAAAGAAGGGAGAATTGCTTGAGATCAGAAGTTAGAAACCAGAGTGGGCAATACAGTGACATCCCATCTCTAAAAAACAATTTTAAAAAATCAGTCAAGCATGATGATGTGCATCTATAGTACCAGTTACTTGGGAGGCTGAGGCAGAAGGATCGCTTGAGCACAGTTTGAGGTTGCAGTGAGCTATGATTACAACATTGCACTTCAGCCTGAACAAAACTACATCTTAGAAAAAAAAAAACCCTAAAACCAGAATATGGTATTTCAAGATATCTTAATTCCAATATTTCCTTATCAAGTGACCCTTGATATGGTTCATTTGAAATAAATAATATTAGAAGCTTCAGTCCAGCAAAAAACAAAGAGAAAGTAGAAGGTATGGCTATTTTGTCCATTCACCCAACCATCAAACACTTTCTGTAAAACTGAGCCAGCCAACAGCAGGGTAAAGAAATCCCAGATCTGGGGTCCTGGAATCAAAGAGTCCCACACAGGAGGCATGAACACATCCTACTGTAAACTAAAACACCTCAATAAAGGTTAACCTGACACAAGAAGGTGCTATTTGGGAACACTGTGTCCGGGGATGAGGCTGGAGGAGGCTTAACAGAAGAGGAGTCTTGCAAATAATAATAACATCATGAGACCTGCCGAGTGCTCCAAAGATCCCAGGCGCTGTGCCGAACAACATGCCCTTAGACATGCCATTAAAAGAAAGAACAGGATTGGAGCAGGCAGGGAGGCAGGGAAGGATGATCACCTGCAGAGGAAAAGGAACTGGCACAGGCACAGGTGTGTCCATGTGTCTGGCGAGGCTGGAGAGCATCAGGCAGTCCACGGCAGGGAGCTTTGGGCACCCATCGAAAATGGTATGACACATAGACAGGAAAGCTGGAACTATGAAGGCCCTGAATGCCAGGTGAATGCTTCCAGCCTAGTCTAAGGGACAACGTGCAGGCATTCAAGGCTTTACAGCAGGGTGGGGAAGGAACAAATCTATGTTGTAGAAACATAAATCTGGGGCTGGCAGGGGGAGGGGACGTGCAAAACCCAGAGGACCAGAGACAGGAAGAAAGTTAGAAGGCTGATGCCATCACTCAGGTGAGAGAAGACAGGGTAGAGGCAGTAGAACGGAGAGAAGGAAATTGGCTCTCACGATTTTCTGGAGAAAGTTGAGACGCTATCTGTCCAGTAATCTCTATATTCTCTTTTCTTTCATTCATTCATTCTTTTTTTTTTCAAGAGCCAGGGTCTTGCTCTGTTGCCCAGCTTGGAGTGAAGTGTGCGATCATGGCTCAGGATAGCCTTGAACTCTAGGGCTCAAGTGATCCTCCCACTCAGCCTCCCAGGTAGCTGGGACTACCATAGGCATGCGTCACCACACTGGCCAATTTTTAAAAATATTTTTTGGAAGAGATGGGGTCTTACTGTGTTGTCCAGGCTTGATCTTTATGTTTTTGAAGGTGGTGAGGAGGCTGGGGGTACAGACAGTATGAGGTCAATGCAAGAGAACAAGTAGTGGAGCAGAGAGGCTTTGGCACAGTGCCAAGGACCCAGCTGCGGCTAGAGCTCAGAAACCAACATGTGTACTCAGTTTGCACAGTCGGGTCATTTTTCCAGCAGTGCTGGAAAGCCTAGAAATGCAGGCAAAAAAAAAAAAAGCCTGTGCTTGGGTTTATTTGAATCAAAGTCTCACTCTGTTGCTCAGGCTGGAGTGCAGTGGCACGCTCATAGTCACTGCAGCCTCGACCTGCTGGGCTCAGGTGATCCTTCTGCCTCAGCCTTCCATGTAGCTGGAACTACAGGCACGTGCTACCACACCTGGCTTATTTTTTTGTTTATTGTAAAGATGAGGTCTCACCAAGTTGCCCTGGCTGGTCTCAAACTCTTGAGACTTATAGGCTTGGATCACTGTGCCTGGCTGCTTGGGTTGATTTAGATGAAGAACTGGCCAACCAGCCACCACAGAAGGTCAAAAGGAGGGGTCAGCTATCTAGACCATGAGGTGAAAGTGGAGGCCAACACGGCAGCTCACGCCTATAATCCCACACTTTAGGAGGCTGAGGCAGGAGGATCGCTTGAGCATAGGAGTTCAAGACCAGCCTAGGCAACACAGCGAGACCTTGTCTGTACAAAAAAATTTTTTAAATTAGCTGGGTTTGGTGGTGTGTGCCTATCGTACCAGTCACTTGGGAGGCTGAGATGGGAGGATCACTTAAGGCCAGGAGGTGGAGGCTGCGGTGAGCCAGGACTGTGCCACTGCTCCAGCCAGGTAACAGAGTAAGACTGTCTTTAAAAGAAAGAAATAAAGAAAGAAAAGAAAAGAAAAGTGGAAATGAAGAGAAGTCACAGCACAGCAACATGCTAGAAAGAGCCAGAGCCCCTGACACCACAGAGCCACATCACACACTGCCCTAGACCACATGCCTGGGCCTTTATGTGCAAGAGAAATAAACTTCCACCTTGTTCAGTTTTGTTAGATTTTCTACCACTGGAAGCCAAAACAAATCTAACATAAGTTAAATGAGTAAGGAAAGAACTAAAACCAGGGAGGGGCTGATAAAGAGAAGGGCCAAGGAGACCAGAGGGCCGACCTTGCAGGTGCAGGAGCAGGTCTCGAGGGAGTGAGGCAGAAGACAGGAAGGTCGTGATCAAAGGGGAACTTCATTCTGTGTTCGAGGCATCAGAGGTAGCACAGCTCCCGGGGAAAGGTAGCTCAATTCTAATCACAGCAAGAATCACAGCAGAACACCATTTGGTGAGAACTTAGGATGTACTGAGCACTCACTGCACCAAGCAAGTGCTTTCTCCCAAATCCCAAGGAGGTGAGCACTTTTACTATTATTAGCCCTATTTATTTATTCATTTTTTAGAGACAGGGTCTCACTCTGTTGCCCAGGCTGGAGGGTTGTGGTGCTGGAGCCTTGAACTCCCAGGCTCAAGTGATCCTGCCACCTCAGCCTCCCAAGTCGCTAGGACTACAGTGCACGCCACCATACCAAACTAAGTTTTAACATTTTTTTGTAGAGATGGGGTCTCACTATGTTGTCCAGGCTGCTCTCAAACTTCTGACCTCCAGTGATTCTCCCACTTCAGTGTTGGGATTATAGACGTGAGCCACTGTATCCAGCCAGCCCTAATTTAATGATGAAGAAAGTAAGACTTAGAGAAGCTGAATCATTTGCCCAAGACACTCAGCCACTAGTGGTACCTGGAATTTGATTCAAGAGCCAGAGCACTGGGCACTGGGACACACTGCTGCCCAAATGTTCCTCTCTGCCTCCTCTGCCACCCTCCATTCTCCTGCTCCACCCCAGCTCCCCAAAGTGAAAGAGAACAAAATGAAGAGCTTACCTGCAGCCACCCTGCCTGGAGAAGGAATGAGAACTCCGCCCATGTCAAAAATCACAGCTCTGTAGGCTCTGCCTCCATGATGTGTCCTCTGGTAGGTGCCCCAAGTCCTGCACCGGACATGTTTCAAGAAAGCTGCCCTCAGAGCCCACTGGAGACACGAGGACTGGAAAAGCCTCCTGACGGCCATGTTGAGGCTGAGGCTGTGTGGGGAAAGGACACAGGGCACAGCTGGCCTTCACTGCCTCCAATCCAGGGCCTCCCAAAGCTCAGGGAAGATGGCCAGACACCTCCCACTGGTCTCCAACAAACCCTTCAAACCTCACCTACAGCTGACCTTGGTGTCTCTTCTCTACTGACTACTCACAAAAGGCTCCATCAATCACCCAGCTGCCCTTGCTAGAAAACAGGGATTCACCCCTGACTTTCCACAACCTTGACCAGTCACCTCACCATCAGTTGTTCCGTGATGTCGACCCTTCCTTCTGAAAACCTCCATCTGCCTCCTTCCACTCACTGCTGCCATCTTGCCCATGACTCTTTTTTAATTTTTTTTTGAGTTGGAGTCTCACTCTGTCGCTCAGACTGGAGTGCAGTGGCCACTCCCGGCCACTGCAGCTTCAACCCGCTGGGCTCCGGCGATCCTTCCACCTCAACCTTCCGAGTAGCCGGAATTACAGGCATGCGCTACCAGGCCCGGCTGATTTTTTGATTTATTGTAGAGATGAGGTCTCGCCAAGTTGCCCAGGCGGGTCTCGAACCCACGGGCTCAGGCAATCCACTCACCTCAGCCTCCCAAAGGTGCGGGATTACAGGCTGAGCCACCGAACCCGGCTTGCCCATGACTCTTAAGTGGCTCCTCTGCCTCTTCTCAAACCGCCCTCCAATTCTTTCTTCTCTCTTCAGTTAGAGTAATCTTTCAAAACTGCAAGTCTGATCACATCTTATCCCCATTTAAAACCTTCAGTGGCTCCCCATTTGCCTTCAAAATAAATTATCAGTTATTAAAACCAGCTTAAAAGACCTCTGAGATCTGCTTCTGACTTTTTGTGGCAACTCTTGTTTTTTTTGACCATGACCTGGATGATCTGGAAATGCACATCAACATGCAATTTCCTCAAACATGTGATTTTCTTCTGATGCTGCCAGGCCTTGCATATACTGTTCCTTTGGCCTGAATACTGTCTCACCCCTGTTGCTGGGCCAATTACAAATGGTTCTTTGGGTTGTAGATTACTTGTCATTGTCTTCATGAAATCTCTTCTGGCTACCAGAAAAGACTGATTAGGAGTCTCTTCTGTATACTCCCAAGATCTCCTAGCACTTATGATGACACTATCACACCACAAAACACCCCCATCTCTACTTACAGATCATTGCAATGGCCTGACTGTTCCCCATTGGTTCTTTTCTAAACTTACTTTTCAAAAGGTTCAGGAAAAAAAAAAACCATACACAACATACACACACACACACGTGCATATATATGCATACCTATATATACCTGTATGGAGATAATCCAAATATGACCAAATATTAATAGTCAATCTAGATAAAAGCTATATGGGAGATCACTGTACTTTCAGCTTTTCTGTAAGTCCAAAATAAAAACCCGGGGGGAAGAAACAAAGAATTAAGGCAGTCTATTTCCTCATGAAAATATTTAAATTTTTCTATGAGATTTCTATAGTTAAAAAGCTTACCAAAAATCAGGTGAGAGCAAAACAACTTACAAAAAAATCAGGTTGGTAAGACAGCCTACGAGGTCATGGAAGTCATATCAGTGCTGCCATGAGGACTCCAACCTTATACGGGGTGAGCAGACCTAATCTGAAAATCTGAAATCTGAAATGCTCCAAAATCCAAACTTTTTAAGCCCTACCTTGATGCTACAGGTGGAATATCCCACACATAAGTATTTAACACAAACTTTGCTCCATCCACAAAATTATTTAAAATGTTGTATACAATTACCCTCCAGCTATATATATAAGATGTATATAAAACATAAGTGAATTTTGTCTGGGTGGGGTGGCTCATGCCTGTAATCCCAACACTTTGGGAGGCCAAAGTGGGGGGATCTCTTCAGCCCAGGAGTTCAAGAAAAAGTCTGGGCAATATAGCAAGACCCCATTCTACAAACAGAAAAAAGTTAGGCATGGAGGTGCATGCCTGTAGTCTCATCTAGCGGGGAAGCTGAGGTGGGAGAATCACTTGAGCCCAGGAGTTTGAGACTGCAGTGAGTTATGACTATACTACTGCACTCCAGCCTGGACAACATAGCGAGAGTTTGTCTCTACCAAATAAATAAATGAATTTAATGTTTAGACTTGTGTCCCATCTCCACAGTATCGCTTAATGTATATGCAAATATCCCAAACTCCAAAAAAGCCAAAATCTGAAATATTGCTAGATCCCAAACATTTCAGATGAGGGATACTCAACCTGTACAAGCAATGAAAGAAAGGAATCTTAAGCAGTAAATCTTGAAAAAGATACAATCTCATGCACAGTCAGTCCTCTATATCTATAGGTTCTGCATCTGCAGATCCAATCGATTGTGACTGAAAATACTCAAAATAAAAAACAATTAAAAATTACAATAGGCCAGGCAAGGTGGCTCAAGCATGTAATTCCAGCACTTTGGGAGGCCGAGGCGAGAGGATTGCCTGAACCCAGGGGTTCGGGACCAGCCTGGGCAACTTGGTGAGACCTCATTTCTACAATATATCAAAAAATTAGCCAGGCATGGTAGCTACTTGGAAGGCTGAGGTGGAAGGATAGCCTCAACCCAGCTGGTTGAGATTGGGGTGGCTGTGAGTGAGCCACTGCACTCCAGCCTGGGTGACAGAGTGAGACTTTGACTCAAAAAATAATAATAAAATAAACACAAATTTAAAATATAGTATAACAACTAATTTACATAGCATTTACATTGTGTTAGGTATTACAAATAACCGAGAGATGACTTAAAGAAGGATGTGCATAGATATATACAAATACCACGCCATTCTCTATTAGGAATTTGAGATCATCAGCAGGAGGTCCTGGAATAATCCCTCGCAAGTACCATGACTGTAATTGGAAATCTGCCGACCTTAGGAGTACATTTTGAAAGTTAAAATGTTAGCTGGGCTTGGTGGCTCAGCCTGTAATCCTGTACCTTTGGGAGGCTGAGGTGAGTGGATTGTCTCAGCCCACAGGTTTGAGACCCGCCTGGGCAGTGAGATCTCATCTCTAAAATAAATCAAAAAATCAGTGGAGCATGGTAGTACATGCCTGTAATTCCGGCTTCTTGGAAGGCTGAGGTGGAAAGATTGCCAGAGCCCAGCAGGTTGAGGCTGCGGTGGCTGGGAGCGGCCACAGCACTCCAGTCTGGGTGACAGAGTGAGACTCCAACTCAAAAAAAAGGAAATTTGAAATCTCAAGCTTGATTTGCATTTTCAGTTTTACCAAGTTCCTATACCAAGGCCAGAGTTTATGACAGAAAGAGAAATTTATTTATAGGCTTGTGAAAGTGTCAACACATTTTGTGTGCAGGCTTAGCAGACGAAAAATGCCTTTGAGGCCTGAAGGGCCAACTTTAATCCTTATCAAGGACACTGTCCTTTACATAGTTCCTCTAATGGATACTTGGGCAATACTCCCAAAGCAGCTTGCTTATTCCTTCAACTAAAGATGACTGGCTGTTCTTTCTAGCCACTTTTCAACGCAAGAAAATGATGTAATTTCTCAGACCCCAGGCCTTGGCACCTGCTGTGCTCATTGACTAGAACACCTTACCCTGCTTTATCTGCCAGGTGAATTTCCATTCACTTTCACATCACAGCCTCAGTTTGACCTCCTCTATGGAAGCTTTTCTTTCTTTTTCCTGGCCAACTGTGGGACTTTTTTTTTCACTACCACTGCTCCTCCACAGCCTCTGCAGAGCACTTACCCCATTACACAGTAACGCCTTCATGCTGATCTGCTCCTATAGTTGTATGCTCCTTAAGGCAAGGACTGTTTTACTCATCTTGGTATAAGTACACCTGGGGCCTAGTAGTTTCTAGATACACCACAGGTGCTCAGTATGAGTTGGAAGGATGCAAAAACTGGGTGTGCCAGAAAAAATTTTTAAAAGCTGGGGCCAGGCATGGTGACTTATACCTGTAATGCCAGCATCTCAAGAGGCGGAGTCAAAAGGACTGGCCTGAACCCAGGGTTGGAGACCAGCCTGAGCAACCTGGCAAAACTTCATCTCTATAATAAATTTTTAAAAAATAGTTGGGCGTGCTAGTGCACACTTGTAGTTCCTTGGAAGGTTTAGCTACTTAGAAGGTTTAGAAAGCTGAAGCAGAAGGATCATCTGAGTCCAGCAGGTTGAGGCTGTAGTAGCCACAACTATGCCACTGCACTCCAGCCTGGGTGGCAGAGTGAGACTCTAACTCAAAAAAAGAAAAAGAAAAAGAAAAAAAAGCTGGGGACAGGTTTGGTGGTTGGCAGCCATAAAGAGCAGTAACATTCCCAACTTGTTTTAGCTAACAATTCTAGTTCTCTAGAACTGGCATCTATCATAAAGAATACTGAGTAAGTAATACGCATGTGTACCCTCTGAATCTAAAAAAAAAAAAAAGAATATTTGTCTTTTCCCTGACACTCAGAATGAGACTCACATAATATAGATTTGCTACTTAATGTTCTCATGAAAATGTACACACTGTGTGTGTTGTCATTCATTAAGGTGATGATTTGTTTGGTAGCGATTAAGAGTGTTGGCTCTGGTATCAGATTGCCTAGATTCAAATTCTAGCTCTGCCACTTACTAAGTATGAAATCCTGAGCAAGTTACTCACTCTCTGAGTATCAGATTCCTCCTCTGTAAAATAGGGACAATTATAGTAACTGCCTCATAAAGTTGTTATCATTGCATGAAACAAAGCATGTAAAGCACTTAAATTAGTACCTAGCACACCCTTAAATGTTATCTACTCCTGTAATATACTAAGTTTATAGAGGGTCTCATATATTTTATTCTTATATTCTGTATGTATGGCTTATGTACTTTCACATAAATCAGTGATTTTGACCTCAAAAGGGTATTTGTTTTTTGGGGGTTTTTTTGAGTTGGCATCTCACTCTGTTGCCCAGGCAGGAGTGCAGTGGCACAATCATGGTCACCCCAGCATCGACCTGCTGGGCTCTGGTGATCCTTCTGCCTCAGCCTTCCAAGTAGCCAGAATTACAGGCATGTGCTACCATGCCTGGTTAATTTTTTATTTATTGTAGAGATGAGGTCTCACCAAGTTGCCCTCGGACCCATGGGCTCAGGCAATCCTCTCACCTCGGCCTCCCAATGTGCTGGGATTACAGGCTGAGCCACTGAGCCCAGCCCCCAAAAGGATATTTGGCAATGTCTGAAGACATTTTTGTTGTCATCATCGGGGAAGAGGTGCAGATACCTAGTGAGTAATGGGATGCTTCTAAACATCCTACAATGTGCAGGACACACACACACTCCCAAAGTATAATCAGAATCTCAAATGTTAATAGTGTAGAGGCTGAGAACTCCTGATATAAACAGGGTTTACTGAAATGTTTCATATAGTCACAAGCTCTGTATACATACTGAGTCCATATGCCTACACATGTCCGGATGTACTATGTATAACTAGAGCGTGTCATGTATGTGCCTTATATACATTGACTGGCTTTCTTTCTTTCTTTTTTGAGTTGGAGTCTCACTCTGTTGCCCAGACTGGAGTGCAGTGGCCGCTCCCGGCCACCGCAGCCTCGACCTGCTGGGCCCCGGCCATCCTTCCGCCTCAGCCTTCCAAGTAGCTGGAACTACAGGCGCGCACTACCACGTCCGGCTAATTTTTTGATTTATTGTAGAGATGAGGTCTCACCAAGTTGCCCAGGAGGGTCTCGAACCCGTGAGCTCAGGCAATCCACTCACCTCAGGCTCCCAAAGGCCTGCGATTACAGGCTGAGCCACCGAGCCCGGCTGACTGTGGCTTTCAATACCTATATGCTGAAGTCAGTCTGACATACTGAAAGAACGCTGAACCACAAATGTTATCTGTGTATACATCACTGCACTTCCTCTTCACAACTGTAGGAGGATATTATATCATTCTGCGCCCCCCCTTTTTTTTGAGTCAGAGTCTCACTGCTTCGTCCAGAGTGGAGTGTAGTGGCACACTCACCGCCACCGCAGCCTCGAGGTGATCCTTCTGCCTCAGCTTTTCAAGCAGCTGAAACTACAGGCAGGCACCACCATGCCCGGCTAATTTTTTGGTTTATTGTAGTGACGAGATCTCGCCAAGATGCCCAAGCTGGTCTCCACCCCGTGGGCTCAGGCAATCCTCTCGCCTCCGCCTCCCAAAGTGCTGGGACTACAGGCGTCAGCCACCGGGCCAGCTTCATTCCAGCTTTGTGCAATGACTAACTCAAGATTGCACAACTGGTGATGAAGGTCGGCTGTATAATATGGGCAGGAAGTGTGTTTATCTTATCTGCCAATGCATCCAAAGCAACCCAACAATGCCCAGACTCTCCGTAAGCACCGGCGAAGCGATAGGGTGAGGAGCAGAACCCAGATCTATCTCCAGTATTGAGCTGTTAACCAGCACATCGCGACCTTAATAGACTCTGCACTCCCTATGGGCGCTGAGAAGCAACGTCAGCTCTCTGAGCCTCAGTGTACCTATCTGTAAAGTGGGGCTGAAACAAAGCAACCCTTCCTAGAGTTAGAGCGAAGGATCAAACAACCAACGAGGCACAAGCTCTACACAGCCCAGGTTCCTCGAACACTTCGGAGACCTCGCGGGGCCAGGGGCCCTGCACCGTCAGCCGAGGTGGGTTGGGACGAGGCCTCCCGGGCAAGCACAGGTTAACTCGAGCCTGGGCGCAAACCCACCGCGCAGCCTAAGCCGGGGGGCCCGCGCCAGCAGTCCCGACGACGTCCTTCCTCTCCGACCTCTCCGAGATCCCGTCCGGAAGGGCGCGGGCCCACCCCGAGCAGCGCCATCCAATCGCAGCGCGCGATCGTGTGCGCATGCGTGACCCCGCCGGTCAGCGGCGGCGGCCGGGAGGCGGAAGTGAAGGTTGTTGTGGCTCTGAAGGCCGTGCGGAGTCTGGTGCTGCTGCTGCTGCTGCTGAGGCAGAGGTGGCAGCGGCGCTGAGGCGGGGGGGGG